GAGAGAGGAACACCAAAATCCTAAGGTTTAAAAAAATTAAGTTGTATTATTTATAATTGGTATCTTGAGAACACATGTCCTCTCTTTCCTTCATCTTTATTAACCATCAGTATAATGGAGACTGTAAGGGAGATTTGTTGTTATTGTTGTTAACACTGTAAACTCAACCAAGTGGTATGTGTTTTTTGAAAAGAATGTTTTTTTGCTGACAATTCCCAGATCACAAATATTTATAAGACTAGCATATGTATTTAGTTCTTTGGGAAATTTTATTTATTTTTATTTTATTTTATTTTTTGGGATGGAGTTTCACTCTTGTTGCCCGAGCTGGAGTGCAGTGGTGCAATCTCAATTCACTGCAACCTCCACCCCTTGGGTTCAAGTGATTCTGCCTCAGCCTCCCAAGTAGCTACGATTACAGGTATGCGCTACCACGCCTAGCTAATTTTGTATTTTTAGTAAAGACGATATTTCACCATCTTGATCAGCTAATCTCCAACTCTTGACCTTAGGTGATCTGACGGCCTTGGCCTCCCAAAGTGCTGGGATTACAGGTGTGAGCCATGGCACCTGGCCCTTCCCTTGGGAAACTTTAAATTGATCAATCTGTTTCTCTGTGTAAATCAGCAAGCTGTATTGATACTTAAATGGTATGTTTTTTAATCATGGGGATAATTTGTTCCAAGGAATTTTCAATTTTTCTGAATAATTTAGGACATTAGTATAGTAAGGCTACGTTTCCTGGGTAATGTGTCCTGATAAGAAATTACCTTGATTTTCATTTTAAAATACGGTGGGTATGTTACTTTCATTTTGTGATAGGCAGTAGTTGTATCTAATAATAACCAATTAAGTTTATGATTTAGAAAGAAAATATTCTTACACAGTATTTTCTTATTAATGACACTTATAAAATAAGATTCCATTTAGTATGAAAAACTAAAACCAGTTAGTGTTATCTGATCATGTCAAGAATGTATTCCACATGAGAGAATTTTTCAGAAAAAGAAAATTAGGAATCTAATTTTCAAATTATGAAACTTAATAAAACTAATAATTTTATTATAAATTCTAAAAAATACTTTAAAAATAATTTAACATATACATGTGTATGTATGTAGATATATGAGATGAGACAGAAAAATATTTCAGATAGAAAAGTACAGAACTTTTTGATGAACACCTGTGTAGCCTCTATATTGAACCCTAACATTTTCCCCCGACTTTTTCTAAGTGTATAGAATAACAGTCAGTCATTTAAAGGTAATTTGGGTAAATTTTTAAGAATTAAAACCAATTATTGTGCTGTGTTCTGGACAGTTTATTTTTACTCAGTTATTTTAGACTTAAGAGTGCCACATTGTTTGGATTCACCCCTTAATAATCCCTAATGCCACAGGTTTACTCTTAATGTATAGCAGTGAACCTTTCTTCATTTGTCCTCTTGTCTGAAGCAAGAATGGAGGAAAGTTTTTAAAAAATGATTTTTTTTTTCTGAGAGAGAAGGAACATCATCCAAGATGGACTTAAACTCATGGGCTCAAAGAATCCTCCTGCCTCAGCCTCCCAAGTAACTGGGATTCTTGTTGCGGGTCACCACACCTGGCTTTGAGCAGATTTTTTACCTAAACAGCCTGGATTTACGTGTTATTGCTATGGGACAAATATGGGATTTGTCATTAATAACTGTATTCCAAGTTACTGCAGATTGTAATATTGAACAAGACAAACTGGGATTTGGAATCCTGAGGCTATCTGATTTGGACAAGTTAGGTAACCACGATGTGCTTTATGTTTTTGATTGAGAAGTTCTGAGAATTAACTAATGCAAATATGTGGCACATAGAAGTTGCTCAATAAAAGTTTTTAATGTTACTAGCCTTCTTTCAAGTCATTCAACTTACTAAAAGTCTGTTTTCTAAATGAGTGGGAGCATTTCTGTACACAAATATTCAAGTATTCTCTCCAACTTTCCAAACAAAGCAGATTTCAACATTAAATTTAATCATCCAACTTTTGGAACCCCTGCTCACTGTTTTCATTGTATCTTGGTTTATTTTTATACCTAAGGTCTGGTAGGCACATAAAAAGTACCTTATGAACCTTAAACTAAGTGAAAATAGATTGTTCAGATGAAAGGTATGTGGATAAATCAGTTTTGTGGCACTTCTACTAGAGAACTCTTGCCAGAACTGGTATCTTTGTTTTGTTTTTCAGGGACTGTTAAATGTGATCACTGAGTCAGACTTGCTGTTTTCTCTGTCCCCTGGCTATCTCTCTTAAGATTCTGAAGTTTGCCAGCCATAGAATGTTTAAAAAGTAGAGGAGGCCTTAGCTCAGGGGGAGTTTGTTTATTTAAAGAAAAAATATTAAATTCAAACATCCTACCGTGTCATAGCTAGTGTAGTCATGTTAAGAGTTAGGGAGTTCTTTTGATTCTTTCCTGGTGTTCATGATACCTAAAGGTAACATAAATTTGAAGCAGTTAAACTTCCTGAGATTACTTGGAACCTTATAATGTGATACCAAACAGAAATCCCTAACAAAGTGGGAAGGAAGGGAATGCCATTTGTTTTACTGGTTTCTGTTTTTTAAAGGGACTCTTTTGATTCAAATCTTCTACCACTCTATTCTAGAGTTATGGTACGGATGATTTAAAAACAAAACAATTAAAAACACACACTATGATGGATACATCTTCATGATTTCTTTGAAGTTGGGAACATAAGAGTCTTTTAAAAGGAACAGTATATTTTTACAGATGTTTAGACACAAAGAAAGATCTAAAATTTGATGTTATGTTTGAAGATTACCATCTCCCAAATGTATAATTTACTTTGCTTACAAATTCTTTGCCAGATAAGGAAAACTAAGGCAGCTATTTTGGACTTGCCCAGGACACTAGGGCAGATTTCTTTGATGAGATGACATAAAAACGAAGTCCTAAAGGAAGAAGCCGGGGCGGGGGGGGAGAGAGAGAGAGAGAGAGAGACAGAGAGAGACCTGTTGTTACTGGTGGAAGGAAAAACAAGTCCTGAGACCCTGAAGTGAGAAGGTGCTTGATGAGTTTAAGGAAAGGAAAGAGACCCGTGTGGCTTGAATGGGGTGAATAAGGGAGAGAATGGTAGATGAGGTCAGAGAGATGGGGTGGGGGTTAGCGGATCATGGTCTTTATGGGCCTTTGTTAGGACTTTGGCTTTCAGACTAGTGAGCTGGACTCAATTGGAGGATTTGATTAGAAGAATGACATGATCTCACTTTCCTTTGAAAATGGTTAATCTCACTTACTTGTTGAGGTGAACAAGAAAGAAGCTGGGAGATCAGACAGGGAACTATTATTATACTAATGTGTATGCAAAATAAGGTGGCTTAGACCATGGTGGTAAGAGTGGAAGTGGTAATAACGTGAATGTCTTTTGAAAGTGCTCCTAGGATGAACACTACATGAGTAGTGACATTTTAAAATACTGGACGGTAGGCTTGGCATGGCAGCTCACGCCTGTAATCCCAGCACTTTGGGAAACCGAGGCGGGTGGATCACTTGAGGCCAGAAGTTCAAGACCAGCCTGGCCAACATGGTGAAACCTCGTCTCTACTAAAAATACAAAAATTAGCTGGGTGTGGTGGCACGTACCTATAATCCCAGCTACTTGGGAGGCTGAGACAGGATAATTACTTGAACCTGGGAGCAGAGGCTGCAGTGAGCCAAGATTGTGCCACGGCACTCCAGCCTAGGTGACAGACTGAAACCCTGTCTCAAAAAAAAAAAAAAAAAAAAAAAAACCCAAGAAATAAATGAATAAAATAAAGTACTGGAAGGTTAAATATTTCATCAATTTAAGTTAAAAAAAATTAATCAGTTTATTAATCATTTCAGTAAATCCTTATGAACACTTATAGCATGGAAGTCATTGTTTTAGGTGCTTGAAAAATACCAGTAGGCCAGGTGTGGTGGCTCACACTTGTAATCCCAGCACTTTAGGAGGCCAAGACAGACAGATAACCTGAGGTGAGGAATTTGAGATCAGCCTGGCCAACATGGTGAATCCCTGTCTCTACTAAAAATACAAAAATTAACCAGACATGATGGGGCAGTAGTAGTCCCAACTACTAGGCAGCCTGAGGCAGGAGGATCACTTGATCCTGGGAGGTGGAGGTTGCAGTGAGCTGCGATCTCGGCACTGCACTCCAGCTTGGGTGACAGAGTGAGACTTTGTCTCAAAAAAAAAAAAAAAAAAGACAACCAGTAAATAAACCAACAAAAACCCCTTCTGTGGTTTGCATTATAATTATGGGGGAAAATAAACAATAAACAAACATAATAATTGCTTATAGCAATTAATCATGATAATTGTTTATAATAAATAAGCAGTTAATTTGTTGTATTTAGAAAGTACTATATTAGTGTCCTCATGTATTTTTTTTTTTTATTCCAGCCTGTAAATGGCACTCAGGAGTTGCAAAGTCCCACTGGGCGATAGGAATTGAGGATTGAAGAGTTCTGGTCCTGTGGAACAAATAGTCACTTTTCTATCCCTCCCACCTCAGTCTCAGCCCTATTAATGTTTATTATGAGAAGGTTGCTCAAGAAGTGTTTGAGGCTGGGCATGGTGGCTCACACCTGTAATCCCAGCACTTTGGGAGGCTGAAGCGGGAGGGTCCTTGAGTGCAGGAGTTCAAGACTAGCCTGGGCAATGTAGTGAGACCCTGTCTCTACAAATAATAATTTTAAAAATTGTTGGGCATGGTGGCATGTACCTGTTGTCTCAGCTACTCAGAAGGCTGAGGTGGGAGGATTGTCTGAGCCCAGGAGATTGAGTCTACAGTAAGCCATGAGGATACCACTGAACTCTAGCCTGAGCAACAGAATGAGGCCCTGTCTCAAAGGGGAAAAAAGTGCTTTGAGAGTTCTTTCTGGTTGCTACAATTTAGGTGGTCATCCTTAAAGAGTTTTGTTATATTCAAGAGTAACATTCTTCATAACTTACCCTGTATTTCAGAAATGACCATTAAGAAGTAGATGCCCAGATGCAAAAGTGATGAAACAGTCCATTTGTCATAAAGTAAGATGCAGCTGTGTCGTGTCAACCACCTTGGTAAGTGTGGCCAAATCTTTTTGGTTTTTTTTAACTATAGTTATCTACTTTGAAAATCACTTAATTAAAAAATATGACAGACAGACTGGGCATGGTGGCTCATGCCTGTAATCCCAACACTTTGGTAGGCCAAACCTGGCCAACATGGTGAAACCTTGTCTCTACTAAAAATACAAAAATTAGACAGGCATGGTGGCACATGCCTGTAATTTCAGCTACTCAGGAGACTGAGGCACGAGAATTGCTGCTTGAACCCCAGAGATAGAGGCTGCAGTGAGCCCAGATTGTGCCACTGTACTCCAGCCTGGGCAACAGAGTGAGACTCTGTCTCAAAAAAAAAAGGTAGATATTAAAGTTACCTTGTATTTTTGGTTTTAATTTGTAGTACAAATTCTATCATACAGCTCTAGAAAGTGTATTTCTGTGTTGTATCTTAAAACATAGGCCGGTCGCGGTGGCTCACGCCTGTAATCCCAGCACTTTGGGAGGCCGAGGCGGGTGGATCACGAGGTCAAGAGATCGAGACCATCCTGGTCAACATGGTGAAACCCCGTCTCTACTAAAAAATACAAAAAATTAGCTGAGCATGGTGGCGCGTGCCTGTAGTCCCAGCTGCTCAGGAGGCTGAGGCAGGAGAATTGCCTGAACCCAGGAGGCGGAGGTTGCGGTGAGCCGAGATCGCGCCATTGCACTCCAGCCTGGGTAACAAGAGCGAAACTCCGTCTCAAAAAACAAAAAAAAACATAATTTTGATCATTATACTTCTTGCATATTTTTTAAAAATTAAATTTGTTTCATATGTTTCTCCCTAGGATTAAAAGTATACCCTTCAGTTTGGGGTTTCTTATTGGAGTGGTGAAAATATTCTGCAATTAGATGACGTGGTGATGGTTGCAAACTTTGTGAATATGTTTAAAAAAACACTTTAAAGAAATACATTTTACCTTATATGAATTACACCTAAAAAAAAAAAAAAGTACCCTTCAGAACATCAAGTCTTAGAGTAAAACCTATTTGACTTACAGCTCTTTTAGAATATAAAAATTGCCACATATCATCATGTACCTAGCAAAATGACTTGACATATAGTGAATAGAATAAGTATTTTTGAAATAACAAAAGTAATACATTTTCTAAGTTTTTTTTATAACACATACTTTTGTTATTAGAGACCAACTGTCTCTCAAGCTTTTGTAATATAAAATGTCATGTCATAATATTCTGAATGTACCATGTTAGCATTTGTAACTTTTCCTTTTCAATAGACTGTCTTGAAACTAACATTTCAACTTTCTACCTGAAAATTTTTTAGGAACAAAATTGTATCTGTTTTTCTCAGAAGAGAATTCCACAAGGTAAGAAATTGTAAATATAGTAACAAAACCAATATAGTTGAGTAAGGCTTAATTACTCTTGATTTTTAAACATTTGTTTCCATGTATTTATTTAATGTATTTTCTTGATTATTACAAGATTCTCACTAATTTATTAACTACCGTTCTACTATGTCAGAATTTGCTAGCAAGACATAGATCATCTTGTTTGAATTTAGGATTAAAGGGTATGATCAAAGTAACCATCTTTAAAATTCAGATACTGCTTCTCATGGTCAGAGCTTATTAAGTGGGTTTATCCATTTTAGGAAAAAAGTTCTTCCATCGGGGGTCATTTATCTTTTACTCAGTGGACATTGCCTATGTGTCTTGGAGGAGTAGAAGGTTCATAGAAGCTCTCTTAGGGGCTGACAGATTTGATTGTCTGGTGAGAGTTGCATCCTCCAGAGGGGAGGAATGCTGTGTCCTTGCATGGTGGAAGGTGGAGGGCAAGTAAAACTCATGCTGAGCATGCAAAACTTCTTTTATAAAGGCTTTAATTAGTTCATGAGAAAGGAGTCCTCATTACCTGATTACCTCCTAAAGATCCCGCCTCTTAATACTATCACATTGACCATTAAATTTCAGCATCTAAATTTTGGAAGGGACACATTCAAACTATAGGAAGAAGGGAATTCACACATCTGCCAAAAGTGAAGCCAAGATTAGGGCTTTTTAAAAGAAGCAGTAATTTATGTATCAACACTTAAATATTTATAAGATCTTTGGTGGGAAAACCAGAAAGTACTGAAGTTGATATTGACTTGTTAGTCTATTCATTGTTGAATATTTCCTCCATCCTCTTTTAAAAATAAAATACATCGGGTAACATAGTCCTTTTCTCCAATTTCTTTAATTTTCGAGTCTTTTGTATGGCGTAGTAATTTAATTATTCTTACATTGTTATGTTACCACACTGCGTAAATAGAATAGATAGTATTGTCATTTTACAAATGAGGAAAACAGCAGTAGGATTGGCTTTAGGTTCTTTTTCTAATCTTATACTGCTTATTCACATTACCTTATAAGCAATGAATACTGTAGGCCTTGGTCGAAAGAGCTTTTATTAATATGGATTTGGTCCACCTGTGTTTTATCTTTTTGTTGAATTGAATTTTTATCATGATGAAAGGGCACTGTCTAAAAACTTTTAGCCTAGCAGTTTTTTTTTTTTTTAATTGTTATTATTGCTGTTTTCTTGGATTAATACAGCTACTGTAGTTTTCTTTTGGTTAGTATAGTATCTTCTTTTCTTTTCTTTTCTTTCTTTTTTTTTTTTTTTGCGGGGGCGGGGGGGCGTGGGTAATGAAATCTTGCTCCGTTACCCAGGCTGGAGTGCAGTGGCGCAGTCTCGGCTCACTGCAACCCCCATCTCCTGTGTTGAAGTGATTCTTGTGTCTCAACCCCCTCAGTAGCTGAGATTATGGGCGCATAATATATATACCTATGTATAAAAGGTATAATTACCAGGATAGTCTTAAATTGAAAGAAGTTGTTTCTAACCAGGAAGAACCTCATAGCCTGAGAAGTTTATAAAACACATATATATGACAAAAATATAAGCAATGAATACCGTAGGTTGTAGTCAAAGGAGCATTTTAAATTAATATGGATTGGGTCCATCTTTGTTCATTTCTAGTTGTTTTTTTGAGACAAAGTTTCGCTCTTTTTGCCCAGGCTGGAGTGCAATAGTATGACCTTGGCTTACCACAACCTCCACCTCGCAAGTTCAAGCGATTCTCCTGCCTCAGCCTCTTGAGTAGCCGGGATTAAAGGCATACACCACCATGTATGGCTAATTTTGTATTTTTGGTAGAAATGGGGTTTCTCCATACTGGTCATCCTGGTATCCAACCTCAGGTGATCCACCCACCACAGCCTCCCAGAGTGCTGAGATTACAGGTGTGAGCCACCGTGCTCGGCCGTATTTCTAGTTTTGAGCATGCCTGTTTACATAAAGGTTATGTGTGTAGTTTGATGGGTGGGAAATTAGAATTTCTTCAAGGGGATGAAATGAGCAATTTGATCTTGTGTTTTTTATATAGTAATCCCCTCCCCCCAAATTATTTGTTTGTAGTGTGAAAATCAGGTATACTGGTTTATAAACCAGTATCTTCTGTCCTAAAAGGCTTAGTTTGGTTCACACCCTGCTTTACTTTTAGAGGCAGAGATTTAGATTAGTTTTGAGTAATCCAGTGCTATTCTGGGTCATTTTAGGTCTGAAGGGTCTTCAGATGTATAATAGTAACCACTTGGCTTACATCTAGCTTACATTTAAGCCTGTGGAACGACTGTGAGAGATTTCACATGTAGGTGGTGGAATACAGAAATGCAGATTAATAGTCTCCTTGGAGTTTATGGGACTTTGAAGTTTAGCAGTGTTTTTGTTGTTCAAAAATATACTATTATATTAAAAAGAGGTGGGTCTTCTGACTCTGATTTCTTACTGTGCATTAGGGCTTTAGGTGTTACAGTTCATTTTCACTGAGGTTGTATGTAATATATAAAAATGTGGATTGTTTTATAGTTTTATGAAAGAACATTTATTTTAGATACCTTTTTGTTTCATGTTCCACTCTTAGAGCTCCCTATGAGCTGGCTGGATTTTATTTTTCCAGCTACGTGCTTTTAGATTAAAAAACAAAACAAAATTCAGAATAAGTTGAAACTCAACACAAATTGCTGCCACAGAACAAAAGTGCTGATCAAGTTAAATCAACCCCTGTAATGTGTATTGAAAGGAAAACCTCTCCTCTCTCCCCCAATTTGAAGAACAAGCATTTTCCCTGCCAAGAAGGACTGACTTTAAATGGACCAGCTGTCCATATTAGGAGTACAGGGTTGCTAAGGTGACCATGGCTGTTTGGAGAAGAATGCAGCTGAGAGGGCAAGTTCTTGTGTGAGCCGAGGGAAGGAATGTGGTGTGATTGTGCATCATTCCTCCTAATCACATGCTCACAAAGTGCTGTGTGGGCAGCATGTAGAAACTACAAGCCTGAGTGCTGGAGCTTGTGTGTGGTTAAAATCATTTTGTTTTCATGTAAGCCAGAGGCTTACAGTTTAGATGGAAAAGGTCTGCCTTGTATGTGTGTGTGTGTTTGGGGTTAAAGTTATAGACAGTGCTTTGTTGGTAGATGAAATGGGAATGAATTTATTTTGCTTGATAGATACATATTTTTATTGTTTTTTTAAAAATTATCTTGGAATAATGTTCTTTCCAATTTATCCTTTTTAGTCACATATACAATATTAATAGTCCCCAAGTACATGATGTGTTCCTTGTAATTATGTATTTCTTGGCACTTTAATTTCAGAATTATTTGGAAAGCCCTAAAAATGTGTTGTCTACTTGTTCCATTTCTTCTTTTTAAAAAACTGAGTGTTTTTTATCCTTGAGGCATCCAAAGATAGGTTCTGAGTATGTCTGACAAATAAGTAGCCAATTTGGTAAAAATAATGATTCAAGGACAGTGACAAGAGTCAAACTAACATCCCGCTTACCTGAGATGCTGTTAAGATTTTACTATGGGTGCCATTACTAATACTTGAAATGAGATCTAGATATATGCATTGATGTAGATACTTAAATGAAATGTGTTCTTTTTGTTATCTTTTCTTCTAACTCCCTACAATGATGTGTTGATCTTAAATGAGGGCATAAATGTGGTATATTTAAGATGTGAAGTAGATGGAACAGTGACAGCCCTTTATTATACCAGCATCATATTATTTTTCATAATCAGATAGTCTATTTGCTTTGAAATGACTGCTGTTTAAGTGATTAATTTATAAAAATATGGAGGGAAATGAAAGGATTAAAATAATTTGACCTCCCATGCTCAAGCAAACCTCCCACCTAGAATATGGCTAGTTTTTATAAATGTTCATGTGTATTTGGAAAGAATGCAAATTTTTCAGTTATTAAGTACGGTGTTACACTTATGTCCAAGAACTTGTTAGTTGTTCTATTCATATCTTCTCTGTCTTGGTTTTGTTTTGGATTCAGGTTTGGTTTTATTTGGGAACTGATTTATCAGTTTCTCTACTAAGGAAGACATGGTAATTAATGTCTCTCACCATGGCAATAGGTTTGTCAGTTTCTCCTTGTAGATGTGTTAATTTTTGCTTTATTTATTTTGAATGTATGCTACTAAATACATTAATAATAACCCAACATAATGACACAATTTAGAATTTAGAACTGTTTTATCTTTCCCTTGAATTGAATTTTTATCCTTAGGAAAGGGACCTCTATCTAAAAACGCTTTTAGCTTTACAGTTTTTTTTTTAATTGTTATTATTGCTGTTTTATTGGATTAATGCAGCTACTTTAGTTTTCTTTTGGTTAATATAGTATTTTCTTTTTTTTTTTTTTGAGACAAAGTGTCACTTTGTCACTAGGCTGGAATGTAGTGGTGTGATCTCAGCCCTCTGCAATCTCTACCTCCTGGCTTCAGGCCATTCTCATGCCTCAACCTCTTGAGTAGCTGCAATTACGGGCACGCACCACCACGCCTGGCTAATTTTTGTTTTTTTTAGTAGAGATGGGTTTTCACCATGTTGGCCAGGCCAGTCTCAACCTCCTGACCGCTGGCGATCCGCCTGCCTCGGCCTCCCAAAATGCTGGGATTACAGGCATGAGCCATCACACACAGCCAGTATTTTCATTCTTTAGTTTTCCATGTATTTGGGTTTGAGTTTTGGAAATAGAATAAGGTTGAGTTTTATTTTTGTTCTGAATAACAATCTTTATTTTTTAAATGGGGAATTTTAGTCAGTTGTAATTACTATAGGTTTAGATTTTTTTTTTTCTTTTTTGAGACAAGATCTTGCTCTGTTGCCCAGACTTGACGGAGTACAGTGGCATGATCATGGCTCACTCTAACTTCTATGCGCTGGGCTCAAGCGATCCTCCTACCTCAGCCTCTCAAGTAGCTGGGACTTCAGGCATACGCCACTGTGCTTGGCCAATTTTTAAATTT